GGTTTTTTCTGTTTGACAGAGTTGTTAATTATTTCTTTGTACCTGGATGACTTTTGCATCTGAAATACAACTATTGTAATTGCTTTCTTAACGATGACTACATTTAAGTATTTTTTATGTTACTATGGCATGATAATGAGTAGACAAGCTATTCATCTGGGAAAATAATTGATACAATCAAGTATAATTATTCCAAAAACTGTAAAAATATTTAATGTGCATTTAAAAATTATAGAAACTTCACAATGTTACTGGGCAGTGACACCATTGCCTTGAAAATATTCCAGAAGATGTCATAAAAATTAACAGACTAAATATTCGTCAACGCCATCTGTACAGTAATTAAAAGTGAAAACTGGTGTCACATTGTCTTGTCAGCATGCCACCCTGAAGAATTATATATTTTTTGGAAGGACTGTTTCATAGTTGGTGTGGTAATTATAACATACCCTATAGGCAGCTGCTATAGCCTCAGTCTCAGCGAACTTTGGCAAACAGCCATGCTTTAATTACTAATTTGCAAATGTATACTAAGTGTTTTCCTTTTGAAGTTATAAATCTCCATTCGGATTGAATATTTAGTTGTATTTATGCATGTTATTGTTACAGGAGGAAATAGATATTTTTGAAGGCATAAAGGATCATCAGGCATTGCAGATGGCAAAAAATTTGGGATTCAAAGGACATTTGCAACAGCAGGTAACTTGACTTCACTCCCTTAGTTTTTACTGAAGACATTTTAGCCCAGCTATGCGATAAATGCTTTCCAAATAGACATGGCTAAGTGTTCATTAGATCAGGACCATTTTGACATTTTAAATACTAAAATGGTACCTATATAATTGTCATTAGGCTTTAACAATTTGAATATGATCTTTATTGTTCCACAGTGAAAGTCCCTGGTCTTTGAAACAATTGATGACAACATGCTGTTACACCACGTAGGATTGTTTTGATTTCATTGGAGTTCCATTCGAGCTCAGTGAATTATATGGGAAGAGATTTTTTTGAAAATTTGGCCCTTAATATGGGGAGAAGTAAAAGTGTATCTCTCTGTGTAATTGAAGTCTTTTTTTTTTTTCTGATCTTCAACTCAAAACCAAAAGGCTGCCAGCTTGTTGTCTTTTCAGTATCTCTTTTCTATACATATTGGAATTCCATATTGTACACAAATATGCAAGATGTTTTGCTTTATGAATAATTTTGCAGAGAAGAGAAAGCTTAAGCTACTCTTGCTGGGTTTTTTTTCCGTAGTATCAAACTGTCATTTTTGTAGAACTCCTTTATTTTTAATTCAGCAGTTTTAATTATTTTCTATCCCAACTGTGCAATTAACAAATGCATAATCATTAAGTTGATTAACACCCATTTGAAGATTTAGCTGTATATCTAATGAGGAGGAATGATTATGTAGAGCCTTTCAACCGTTGAAGAGTTCTGGTACTTAATAATTAACAGCAATATATGGACTTTTCGACAATACATTTAAATAATGCTGCAGTGAATGCATTTCTTTCCTTGTGCTGTCAACTCAGAGGAATTTACTGAAGCATAGGCACATAGTTTTTATTCAGACAAATCCTAGTATTTACTTACATAGTCACTATTTCTAGGTTGGGATTTTATGCATCGCCTCGAAGAGGCTTGGGACTCATAGACCTTGAGGAAGAGAAATGTTGACATTAAGCTGCCTGATTCAGAGAGGTGCTGAAAGATGGAGCGGCCCCTAATAAAAGTTAAGAGATTCCGGTGATCTGTTAAAATTACAGCAGAGTACTAAGGCAACAACAGCTTTTCAGGTTGCCCAGAATCAATGTGGGATTGCACAGTGGGACTTCCTCCCTAGTGCCACTACGATAGCCTGACCCATGTGGTATTAGGATAGTTTGTCAGCCAGAGTGTCCATGCCAAGGAAACTGCTGCCTGGGCAGGTCCAGATTTAAAGTGATAATTTTTTTAGTCAGAACTACCGAGAATGCTTCAGCTGATGACTTTTGAGCAGAGAAGACTTAATAAGCACTTTGTATGCCGCTTCCACACTGTAACTCTTTAAAGACTCTTAGACATGTTGGTCCCAAAATGGGACAAATCACTCCAGGTGCAGCCTTGTCTGCACTGAGTAGAGGGAGATAGGAACATCCCTCGCTATGTTCTTCCTGAGGTAGTGCAGTATTGGGCTTGAGTCTTGCCAGTCGTAGTGTTTTCTTTCTTGTGAATGACACTGTGTGAGAAAGCAGACTTCTGGTTTTTTTTATTCTCGTTCACTTTGCTTATTAGGAGAGGTCCCAAATATTTTTGTTTTGTATACTTCAGTTAACTGATCAGTAATGAAGGAACAAATTTGAATGATTCTTTATTAGGGCACTTCTTCATTGGCAAACTTATTTCAGCTAATAAGTTGTCAGTGTGTGATGAACCAAAGGGAATTTTTTAGTGCACATACATATTGCTGTTAAGTTGTTCTATTAATGGAAGAATGTTGTAAGAAGACTTGGAATTTAATAGTCAGTCACAATACTTTTGGCCACAGAACCAGTCACAGAGATAGATGGTGAGGAACAATAAGGAACAAGCAAGAGTATCTTGTAAGGAGTAAACAAGCATGTTTCTGACATAATTTCTTCAAGAAAACATTTCAGACTGATGTAGGAGGGGGAAATGTATATTTTTTTCTGAAGTCACTAATGTGCACATACTGCTTTATGGTTTCTGAATTTAGACTGATTAATGTGAATGCAACTTAGATCTCAGCATACCGGAGAATGTGTCATTATGAACTGTTAGAGACTTTTCAGATTAAACTTGTCATAGTAATCGTGCTGTTTATTTTGTAGCAAATCTCCAGTTCATGTAGTCTTTAAATGCACATTTACTAAGTGTTATGCAGTATCATAATGCTACATTATAGCTATTTTAGATACGATATAAATATGATTAAGAAAACAGAAATAAAAGCAGTAATTATCTTGAGCTAGTGTGCAATTTAATACATTAAAAATTATCAATAGTGGTTTACCTTTGTCTTGAAAACATTAACTTTTATTTTTCTGTGTGGTAATTGTAAATCACTTGATCAAATTTAGGCGGCAGATCAAATTAAGAAGCTGTATAATCTTTTCTTGAAAATTGATGCCACTCAGGTTGAAGTGAATCCCTTTGGTGAAACTCCAGAAGGGCAAGGTAAGAAATTGAAGGAAACAAATGAATGCATTATAATTCTTTATTTATGCAAACTATAAATTAAATTGCATAGAAGGCTGTTGCAGCAGCTTTGCATTAATTTCATTTTGTAATGTAATTTAAGCTACATTCATAAATATTCCCATGACAGATTTTACATTTCAATACCTTTTGTTATTTCATCCAAATACTGGAAGTATTGGCTTCTACAAGTTATGCTTGGTGAGAAACAGCAACATTTTCTGCTCTTCTGCTCTTTGTACAAAGTTGGGTTTTTCTTGGTTTTGTATTGTTTGTTAATGTTGGTAGAATTACTGAGGTTGTGCAGAAAGAAGCTTGTTATTTTACATTTGTAAACTTACAGGGAAGTTAAAACCATAAGTGCAGGACTCTATAACCTACAAGAGCACAGGAGAAATTCCATCTGGAACTGACACTTACCTACATCCTTTGGGAAGAAAAAGGGTATTTGATCTGCTCCACCATGAATACGGGTCTAAGAAGGCATAGGGTAAATAAAAGGAGCTAGATTAGCTTTCATGTCATTCTAGTAATTGATTTTCCAGCTGAAACCCTTCCTTCCATTTGTCATTTTTGTCCAAATAACTGGGACAAAAGTGAACAGAAGAGGGATTAAAGATGCCTGTGGTATATTGAAATAGAGTAGGGATTTAAATGGATGAGCAGTGTGGAGCTCAGGGGGAGCTAGCTGAGACCGGCGTCAAAGGCTGCAGTTCACAAGCACTCATGGCTTCCTGGTAGAGACCCTAAGTATCGTTTTGTGATTTGAGAGAAGTCTTTGACATTGGGAAGTGCTAGTGGGTGTGTCTTGACAAACATTCGTAAAGTATGCTCAAGAAAGACAATTCCAGTTTTTAACCAACTTTATAAAATATGGCTACAGATTAAAGTGGAAATTAGAAAATGGAAAGAGAGAGCTTTTACCCATTTTAACCAGCATTAGGAGTACAGCTGCTTAATTGCTGTTCTGGAAGCTTTTGGAACTGCTATGTCAGTTCAGACCCTGAGCTCCTCACAGGAGTCAGTACCAACTGAAAGAATTAGCATTTAAAAATACTTCTTATATGCCCACGGGTAGATTGTAAAGTAAGCAGGATTTCACTAAAAAAATCCATATTTTTGGCTCAGTTGGTCAGGAATTCAGAAGCTGAATTGTTGCTAGAAATTGTGCCATCTCTTCCAGTTGTCCAACTTTGGTTTTCCCTTTTTGTTAAAAAAAACAAATGCAAAAGAATTGGCAGAGAATTGTCCACAGCTTAAAAGGAAAATTCTGCTGGTAATGAGCTCTGAAAAGCTCTAAAAGATGTAAAACAAATCCTGCCCTACCTTGTTTTATTAACGCATCTTAAACGATGGTGCTCTTTGTAATAAAATAGGCTCTGGGACACTAAAATGCCCTTTTGTAAACTGACATTTTATAAAACAAATACAGAAAGGAATGTCCTGTCTATTAAAGCATATGAGGATAATTCACAGATAATGATAATAATGATCAAGTGTGCAGTCAATTTTTATTACATAATGACCTGATTTCAGGTTAAACTAAGGTAGAAAAACATATTTATGGCTTAACTGTATGAATTCTGCTTTGATAGCAGACCTTTTCTGAATCCATTCTTGGTTGGGGTTTTGGTTTTTTGTTTCTTTTTTTGTGTTTTTGCCACCAGAATCCTTTAGCTCTCTGGATAGAGTTTACCTTATGAAAATGATTTCCACCAAATGCTTTAACTCTCTTTATCTGAGAATCTTTTGCAGCACTGTGTGCTCAGATTTCCAGCTCATTTGAAGTACCATAATAACGTGCCATTGAATCAATAGTTTCTGCATTGTAAACCTTGCTCAGCTTAATAAATGTAAGTCAAATTCTTAGCAAGTAACTCCAGCTCCATTGGTTCTTGCACAATTTGTGAAATGTGCACTGGGGGAGAGAAACAGAAAAGCCTGCTGTTGACCACTGTAGTTCTATTCTAAGGTGTCTTTTAAATGGAAACGCAAAATTTGCCTTCAGAACCCAATAGACTGTTGTTTTTCCCCGCCATTTAAATAGATCCATTGCCCTCATTAAAACCAGTTGGGAATGAGGTGAGAAGGACATTTTCATTTTGTGTTGCACAGTGAAGTTGAAGCAGAATGATGAAATAGGGCCTTGTGAAGTCAATGGTCTGGATTTTTCAAGTTCTAGCAATGTCCAGCACATAACACTTTTGACCTTTTGAAGATGAAGGGTACCTTTAAAATACGTGCAACAAAAACTGCTGGAACTTTCATGCAGATTATGATGTGCACTTCAAAGCAAATTCATTGGTATGTTTGTTGGCTATGACTGATGTACTTAGAAGGTTTATTTTGTGGGTTCAAGACCACTGATATTGTAAAACCAAAATTGCCTTCCTCACAACTTGTTGAAATAATGTTCTTAGCAGGTAATTGACCAAGATACCTTAACACTACAGGGCAAAATGGAAGGTAGCCAATAGTCCTTATGCTCAGGCAGATGTCAAAAATTGGGACGTTTATGACAATTGCCTTCTATGAGGCAGAGAAATGAGGTTGAGGTGAGAGAGCTCTTTGTGCCAGGACTCGCTGTTCTGGTATTCACACTTGCTGGTTCAAAACTACTTCAGATTTCTCGTATAAGCACTTTGCTGTTCTATTGTTTTGGCAGAGCAAAGAACAAAATCGCCAGTTCAGTACCTACATCATCTCAGCCATGTAATCCTTCAAGGAAGACCTTTAAGTGTGTCTTGGGGATTAGTGAGTGGACACTGTAGACTTGTGTGTAGACACTGAGAAGGAAGCAAGGAGGGCAGAGACAACGCTGTCAGATAACAGAACAGGAGCATCATTGAGATGCTGGGTACCAACACAGAGGGGCAACTGGTAGACAAGTGGAGGCAAGTGAAGGAGAGGACAGTTGGGAATGAGAGGAAACAAAACTGGTGGTCCTAAATGGTCCTAAAGGACCATGGCGGCACTAACTTTGCAGCCTTGCTGGAGTACTGTGAGGTGGCACTGTGGAAAAAATGAAATGATTTGGAGAAGTTGCCAACTTTGCTTTTCTGTAATGGTTATGCATATTTAGTGAGCAGGGCTTAATTTGAAGGATGGTAGGAGTTTTTATGCTGTTTTCTCTGAGGTTTTTCCCCATGTGTTTCATATCCAGGAAGCTGAGGAGCAGAACAGAGTGGGTTTCAAGCTGTGAAAGCCATCTTAGTAGCAGACATACACAGAAGTCTTCCTGTGCTTATTTCTTTTTTGCTAGCAGTTTCTCCATCTGAAATGTCTTAAAGAAGAATAAAGATAAAACAAATGGAGAACACTTGAGTAGCTTAATGCAGTTATTTCTAATGATGAAATATAAGTCTCTGTATGAAGACGATTATTTCTGTCAAAGTAACAGTTAAGATGGATTTATTTCTTGCTGTGTTTTGTGTTTTTCACTTGTGTGAATTTCCATTAGAAAATACATTGTCATATGTATTTCCTTTTGTTTAATTTTGTAGCAAATTCTTTGTTAACACTATTGGGTCAGAAGCTTGTAACTGCCAATTTCTTTAGGGTTTTTGTTTTGTTTTGTTTGCTCTCAGTATAAGCTGCTGAATTGTCAGATGACAAAAATCTTATACTACTAGCAGAAACAACAGAAGTACTCCACGAATATAAGTGTTAGGATTTTCTTTGATATTTGTTTAAAATTCTATTTGTTTAGACGAAAAATTCATTTGTATAATCTATGATCCATGTAACAATATGCTTTTGATGGTGAAAATGGTTTGATAAATATTAATAGATGTTTTTCCTGCTATTTTGTATAACGTGGCCTTTGTTAAAGATGAATGTTCTGTAGAAATGAGATTCTATTAATGTGACATTGAGGATGTTCATGTCTAAGGTAAACGGAGCTCAGAAACTGCAGCTTTGAGTTATTTGAACAATTTAGGGAACTGAAAACTTGAAGAAGAAAAATGGTGCAGGTCTTAGTTTGTTGTTTTAAAAAAAAAAAAAAAATCCAAACTAAAGCAGCTCTAGTACAGTAGAAGCATATTATGAACTTCAGGTGTTCCTCCTTTTGGCAGATTCCCACATGATGGTTGACCAGGTAAGATCTAGACTGTTCCAAGAGAGATTTATTATATACAGATACTCATGAGTAGTTTTCTGAAACTGCAGTCACTGAAACTAAAATTGATCCTGTTTTAATTAAAAAAAACCCCACAAACCCAACACAAAAACCCCAGCAAGTTAGAAAACCAAACCAAGAAAACTCAATGCAAATCAAGACATACAATTCAGACTGCCCTATTTATGTAAATGTTTTGTTTGCTCTTTGCTTAGATATTTTTTCCTATTAAGCAATGATGTATTTAAAAAGAGGTATTTTTTGACCATAAAAGATTGTGTGATTATTTTAATTCGTGGGTATTGATATCAAATACTAAAAATTGTCTTTTTAATTGTAATTGGCCTCTAGTTGCAGAGACACGTGCAATGCTTGTGAGCACGTGCACGTGTACCAGGTATATGCTTCAATGGCAATATGAATCACAGAGCAGAAAGAGAAACAGATTTTTCTGGATGCAGCATTTAAAGGCACTTAAATCTGACTGGTTTGCATTGAGAAATTAATTATACTTCAGTCAGTAATTATAATCTGGATATAGTACAAGTCAAATTACTTAAATAGTGAAATTATAAGTATATAGTCTTACATTTACTTAGAACATTTTAATCTAATGAGGTGTTTGCCTATGCAAACCCATAGAAATAATGAGTCAGTAAATAGGCAAATAACCAGATTACTCTACATGCATTTCTGTTACTGTTTGTTTTTATGTGAATATTATGTCTACTAGCTAGTCTTTTGTATCTATTATTTAATATAGTCAGGTTGAGCTACATCTTAATTGGTTTTTACAACCATAGCAGATGTTGACATTGACAAGAAGTTTTGTATTTACTTTTTAAATTTTCTTTATTTAAAAGTCACCTTTTATAATTTTTAACATACATTGGCTTAAAGTTGTTTTAATTTAGATCTTTAGGGAAATAATGTGCATATAGCTAATAACATTAAAACTTAAAAATATAGCTAAGGAAAGCATTTTGTGTTGCTCAACTATAAATGAGTGCATGTTACCAAACATTGCTTCGGATTGCTAACCTGTTACCTGTTATATATCTGTTATACTTACCAAATATTGACAGTCTCTAATGAAATTACTGCAGACCGCCTGCCCAAATCATAAAAACTGCCTTCATAACTTATGGGAACTTTGTTTAAAGCAAACACAGAAGATCATCCTGTGACAAAGGCATGTGACTGTAGTGTGGAGATGCTTGCTGTACCTTTTCCCAATGTAAGATTTAAGGAAAACTTGCCCTTCTCTCCTGGACTCAATGCTAGAACTTCAGCTGATCATGTGCTGGAAGCAGCATCAGTCCCTAAGCAACCCTCTCCCCCTCCTTCCTGTAGTAGTCATAATATTTCAGGAGCTCTAACTGTAATCTCTAAATGCCTATATGTTGTTTTATTTTTTTCTTTAGTTGTTTGTTTTGATGCCAAGATAAACTTTGATGACAATGCAGAATTTAGGCAAAAAGAAATATTTGCTATGGATGACAAGTCTGAAAATGAGCCTATAGAGAACGAAGCTGCCAAATATGACTTAAAATATATAGGACTGGATGGAAATATTGCTTGCTTCGGTAAGAACAAATAAATCCAAAAGACATTTGAAGACAGAATTTGTACTTGTTTAGTGTATAGACTTTGTTTACATTCTGACATTCAATCCACCCTTGACAGTATTTCAGTCTATTTTGCTGAGGTTTGTCCTTCCACAAGTTCTTGCAGGAATGGCACTAACATCGTGTTGAAACTCTGCTGAGGGCCACAGCAGACAGGCAGGGCACGTGTGGTGTCGGGGAGAAGGCAGGCTAAGGGGGACCCTCTGGGGTTTTCTACCTTCTGAATTTTTAAGCTGATGCAATTGGTCTTTCCAGTAATTAAAACAAACCCAGAAAAATCATCAAAATTTGATCATTAATTTTCAAAAATGAGACTGTGTTATTTAAAAGACACTGCAAAAGTGTGTGTGTAAAAACATGATATTCCCGTTTACAAATTAATATTGAACTCCATTTCCCTTTAATGAAAGTTGCTAGAGAAGCTGCTTGGTTGTTAAAAGGAAAATACCAGTTTCTTATTTTTCTTGAAGTTTTTGTAGAACAGAAATTACTCTCTTGTTTAGAAGAGATAAGTAAAAAAGTCAGATATGCTCTAAATAATTTTCATTTTGTACAAATTCTTTTAACCTGTACAGCATTTTACTATGAATTGAATTGAATTAGTCATTTTAACTCAGCTTGGTGAAATGACTCATTCTAGAAAATGTCCAGAGTTTACATTGCTTAGTTGTGTACTTTAGCCACAAATCTAGAAGATACTGATAATGTGTTGCAGTTGATTCAGTAAGTGACAGTGAGGTTTTAATCTCAATTTAAACGAAAAAAGCCAAACCAGGAAACAATAATTGGCGACACTACTGTATTTTTCTTTAGTATTAGATATTGCTGTTGAATTATAATTGACAGGGAAGCCTCACTTTGTCCAGCAGGAGCAACTGACTGGGGAAAGATAATTCTCATCTACTTTTCCTAGCTTGGAGGATGTTTATACCCATGGGAATGCTTCTAGACTGGTGGAAATACAAAATAAAAGGAAGTTTCAGGAGCATCTGATATCTGTCCCCAAAATTTAGTCATCCGTTTTACAGTAATGCAAAGCATCATGTCCTGCTATCAGAATGATGGGAGGGGAATCAATCTGTCTTTCACATCTCAGGATGTGATTGCTATTCCCAGAAATTTATTGTGTCTGTTTGTTTTTAAATCAGAAATTTTTGCATTTCCACAATTACCATTCCAGTGCTCGTACATGCTTAAGGGAAGGTGCACTTCTAGGTCCTAAAATTGATACAGCCATAAAGAAACCTAAACATTGTTGTGTATGCACCAGATTTTGAATTCTTAGTTGCACTGGTTGTTCTTGAATAGGTACTGACCTATTTAGAAATAAATATTGATGTTAACAGTTTGATCCATATTAGGTGGTTGTGCTGATATGTTTTTAAGCCTTTTCACAAATCTTTTATACTTTTATGTGAAATATAAGCACTTGATGTTTACAATTACAGTCAATGGAGCTGGACTTGCAATGGCAACCTGTGATATAATATCCTTGAATGGTGGAAAGCCAGCCAACTTCTTGGATCTCGGTGGAGGTGTGAAAGAAGCACAAGTTTATCAAGCATTCAAACTGCTGACTGCTGATCCAAAGGTAAAAAAGCCCATTGTTGGTTTTGGACCAGAAACTTACCCATGCAGTAGTGCAGCTGTGTTACAGGACTATGAATAGTATGCTGAAAAATACAGAGAATGGTGTGAACATCGATGATGACTTACTAAATCCAAGAGGAAAATTATTTCACTGTGAACCACTGCACTGACTTTTCAGTTCCTGATCCACACTCAGGTTTGATCGGTCTCGAGTGGGTGCTTTCTCAAGGCAGTTCAGCACAGAAACACAGATGTGGTAATGCTGGGCATTGCAGTGCTGCATTTTGAACATCTGGCTCCTAAAGTGGAATTTGTGGGGAGCTTTAGATACTTAAAATATTATTCCTAACAGTGTACTGCCACAGTGGAGTGAGAAGGAAAATGTAAATTAAGCAAATAGCTAATACTGAAAGCTGATTTGTGCTCTTCTAAGCTTGAATTTTCTAAAATATCTGATTCTGCACTGCAGGATAGTAGTCTGTGTTTAATTAACATTCACAGGCTGGAATCATAGCCTGGTACGTTCTAACACTTCCTTTTGCAGATGGAGGTGCAGTTGCTCTTTTCTTTTTGAAAAACAGGAGACGACATTAGTCTGTGTGTATTGAGTAGAAGTTATTTCTAGAGATGCACGTTTACATGCTGAGGTCATTGGTCCCCCTTGCAGACAGAAGTAGAATATATATTGAGAGAATATTGATCAGGTGTAGGCACTGGAGCGGTGCCAGCTGACCATCCCTGCCAACGTGGAGTTACGCTTTTGTGTGTAGTCAGAACTTCAGTTGCTGTAGACTTTTTTTCTTTTACTAATGAAAATTTGTCAAAGGGTTTTGATCATCTTCTCCATCTCCTGCACCTAAGCATCTCTGCTGAAGTCCCATTTTCAACATTTTGTTTCTTTTTGTGGATCTGGCTTTATCTCCTTTCTCTCTTTGTGCATCTATCCATTTTCCTGATGTTCATTGTGTCTGTGATATTAGCTCCTCTAAATACCACCTTCCTGTGGAAATTGCATCGCTGTAATTGTAGTAATCACAGCAAGTGACAAAATGTTGTGACTTTTCAAATAGAGGAGGATATTGTTTGCAGTAAAATTTCAAGGCAAAATCAGGAAGAAAATTTACAGTACAAAATAAGCACAGGTCGATTTCATATTGTAAGCTCTTTGCAGTTGTAACTCTCCTTGCCTGTTTTTAAGGCACATAGTACCTTGACAGCTCAACTGTGCTAGAGAGAGTCTTCTGCAACACTTAAAACATTCTTCCTGGATCTTTTTGCACTGTCATAGGCCTGGGTCCTGCTGACCTTTTGTTTTCAGAGGTCTAGTTTTATGTTCTTCCCAAGACCCACAGGAAGAGAACTGGTTGTCTCCTCCTACTTAGTGATCTTACAGACTTCAGGTCATTAACATACCTAGAAGAACACAGACCTGGAGAAGCAGAAGCAGGATATCTTGGCTGCAGCAGGAGGGAGGCAGGATGGGACTTGAGATTCATGCTAGAAAACCTGATAGTTTCCTTCATTGTGTGATGCTAGTAGACACTGTTATGCTTGTCTTCATTTGTGTGAGTTTTAGTTATTCTCAGGACATTACAAGAAGATTTGCTTATGCATGTTTGAGTTGTTCTGCAGTGTGTGCTTTGTATGATGATCAAGGTTTGACTCAGATGTAATTTAGTTCTGAAACTTGTCTTAGTGGTGGAGAAGCAGGTGCAGTAAAGTCTTAGATGTACAGCTTAGCTGATGATTATCACTATGCTAAATAGTTTCTTCTGTCTGCTACAGCACAAACAGCAGGTATTAATTTTGGTGATGAAACTTACTGAGTTTAAACAATTTTAAAACACAAAGGCGTTTCAGTAGCTCTCAGCTATGTAACATCTGCATGCCCAACATTTGACTTGTAAATGTATCCTTCTATTACATATTCTGCTTATATATTATGCCTCAACACTAGCTGCTTAGACCAGGGCTAGTGAAGCTGTGCTAAGTGAGACAGTGGGGCAAAGGAAAAGGTACCATAGCAAGGACCTGAACTAGTCACTTAGGCTTGTGTCTGTGCACAGCTGTAGCTGTGCCATTCCTGGCTTTGACTGGCTCAAGATGGAAAAGGCTTTAGCCTAAATGCAGCACAACTCATTCCTCATTAATTTGTTGCCTCCTCTCTTCCTTTTGAATGCCTTCTCTGATCTTTTCTCCATTCACAGGACGAATCACAGAACAGCTCCATTACATTTCTCTTCTGCCTGTTCGCTTAATTGCACTCCAGGAAAAAAAAGGATGACTGCTTAGAACCTTGCTAGACTCTGTTACTTGGTATGGTGCAGGGGAAGAGGGTGGTTCTGAAAGCTATCTGCTCCAGGGAATGTAGTCCATAGCAAACTTGGATGCACGTACGTACGTGACAGCATTGTTGGCTGCAGACATTGTGGTTTTATTGAGATTTAATGCTGTCGCCCATTTCTAAGTTGTTAACATTAATTCCTATGAACCTAGCCCTGCACATACCAGTCGTACCACAGCTCTTATCCCTGAGAGGCTGGCCAGGTTTAAGTGAGTCACTTCTGAACTGTTTCTTGTCAGCCCTTTCAATTTCACTGATTTTGCCTTTATTTTATGTCACTGTGACCATCAGCAATACTGCTTCAGTTCCACATGATATCAGGTGCAAAACTTCTCTTAATGGTAACTGATGAAGAATATGTATGAGATTAAATTAGGATTAGGGAAAACATGCTGATATCCTGGTACATATTAGGAGACTGTAGCAGCCCTGGCAGTTATATCAGCCTAACATCAAAGCCCTTGTTTTTCTTACTGCTCTGCAGTTGAATGTTAATATAAGTTTACTAGCTATTAAAAAAGCAAACATTTAATGTTTTATTTCATTCTGTTCAGAAAAGACAAGAAATGTCTGTTATTTCCTCTCCTCACATACCATGTCCATTAGCTTACTAATATACAGTAAGATAATTGAATGAATCCTCTTTTCTTAACTAATAGTAGGCTTTCCATCCCGAGAGTCATTGTGGCTGATGCAGCATTCACAGTTTGTATCTGGTCAGTCAGTTCCCTGTAACCTTTAACCTGATTCCCACCTTGAGAAGATAAAAATTTGCTCTTGAGGGGCAATTAATTGTAAATGTCTCCAAGCCACACTGAGCCTCTGAGGAATGACTAAACAAACAACAACAAAAAACTCTGCAGGGCTGTAATATGGAGAAGCACTGTCTTTTAGTTGTGCTGAAATATGGCACTGGCAGTGTTAATGGCATTGCAAGAGAAGAAATCTTCCAGAAGGAAATGTTCAACTGCACTTTGAAATTTTTTTTTTCCCTCTCTTTAGTTGTCTTTAGAACGTCTATTTTGTATTAAAGCAAAAAATTACAGGTATGCCATGATTTGATTTAGTGAAGCTGGGATATTGTTTTTGAGAAAAATGAAGATCTTGGCTGGTTTGTTGCTGGTTTCATCTGGCTGTTGTCAGTGTCTATAATTCTTTAAAAAAAAAAAATTTTTTGTTGTTGTTGTAAAAGGTTACCCACTAGCTTTTGGATGGAAGTGCTGTCTCTGGAGTCAGTGACCCTTTTATACTCTGCTGGTCTTGTTTGCAGTCTGCCATATCCAATACTTCCTAGGTCAGACAGGTCATTGCAATGGTTCTGAATTCTGTTCTTTTCACTATCTAAATTTCAGAGTCTGTTCTTTTTGTTTGTTTGTTTGTTTGGGGGTTTTTGGTTGGTTTTTTTTTTTAAATTCCTTCTTGCCTGTCTTGTTTCTGTGAATTTGTGCCGTGCATCTGCTTTGGCAGAAAATGAACCATCTTCCCTCTTTTCAGGTAATAACAGGAAAGGGGAAGATGGGTTGATTCTGGGTGTTTGAGCTGCTGGGAGGCACTGCAGAAACTTCATTGCTCCTCTTTGTCCCACAGTCAAGTAGAAGAGGCTGTTTCCTTCAGTATTTCAGAGGTTCTGAGTGATGCCTGGCTCTGCCCTGTACGTATGAAGTACTGTTTCAGCCATCCTCACTGAAGTTCTCATCCTTGAGTACTCTCACATCCTTACCAAGCGCAACAGGTGCTCGTTTTTATTCATGCTGAAGACCTGGGCTGTTATATTTACCATATGACTGCTTGTAGGGTTCAACAAGGTTTTGGAAAGGCTAAAGCTGCAAAAAACCAGTCTTGTCAAATCTACTGTCCAGGGCACTGAAGCTTGGTTGTCATCTCAGCCCTCTGCTTTGGCCTGGAGTTGTCCGACCTATCTGACTCTCCTAAACTCCTGCAGGTTTTTCTCTCAGCTTTTTTATAGACATTGCAGAGATAGTCAACATCAAGTTTCAGATGCTGGAGTAGCTGAATTGTGTTTTTGAAGACCCTAGTGGGTATCAGAGCCCATAATGACTAGGCTCTTGGTGAGATGTATTTAATGACTACAATTAGGCACAGATCAGAAGCATCTTATCTGCAACCTGAAGCAAGTCACATCCTCTACCTTTTTCTCCCATGCTGTCTTGAAGGAATAAAAATAATATCGTATAGGTTACTGATATAGGAGAGCTGCCCATTAATGCTGACATAAATGGCGTGCGTACTTGAGATGTGACCCAGACGTAGGACTACACAGTCTTTTGTCAGGTTTTTGGCTATACAACATCATTTTCTCTTTTTGTGTCTCCCTAACAGGAGCTAAAATTCAGAAATACGAGTAAAGCAAACTAAGCTGTAAGCAGGATTGTTTTGCCATTGACTGGCTTTAGTCCTGAACTTAACAGTTTTGACCCCTAATAGAAAGTAACGCTGAAATACGGGCAGGTAAAGGCCAAACTTATTTGTTGTTCTTGTTGTCCTTGTCCCCCTAAAGCTCCCTTGACAGCCTTTTAGGAAGCCTGTCATTGATGATATGACTAAAGACTTATCAAATCAATTGATGTTAATGAGTGTTTGCTTGTCATATAAGCAAAATACTATTGACAGATTGACAAACATCTCTCTGGGTAAAA